CCTATTTTAAGTCAATCATCAGCCTATAAAATGCTGGGCGGGCCACATAAAATGAGGCCTTGAATTTGACACATGTGCTCTAAAAAATAGCCTGTGTGGTTCAAATCAGAAATCCTTTCTTTCAAAGAGTTCAGCATTTAACTTTACATGATGTGAAATGAAGATTTCCCAGGCCAATGTAAAAAAAAAAAAATCACTGCAATTCAGCAATGATGCAGCAAACAAAAAAAATTAAACCTACAAACCTTGACTGGAGGTGAAACAGGAATAGAAAAAATTAACTAGTTTCTTTATTTAAATTTTGAATTAAACAAGTTGGAGTTTCTTTTTCCTCTTTTCCAGTTTGTACCACTATTATTGGTATTTTGCAATAATTATCAAGTTGTTTAGTATGTAAATGGATGAGTTATGTGATATGTGTGAAGTATAACGATGGGTCAAAATGACCAGTACTCAATCTTTGTTTTTTTTCTTTGACACTTTCGGAAGTTTGAAACTGCTAAAACTAAATTTGTAACAAAGTCAAGAAATCTACACTGACAAATAAAATGCTGGATTCTAATTCTGTTGACAGTTCATTCTAAAAATTGAGCGGAGAGCTTAAAATGAACAATTTGAATGAATGCTTCAGAAATCGAACACTCATGATGAAATCTTGCCAAGATGTGTAAACATCATCACAAGTTGAAAATGTTTACAGAAACTGAATTTAAAATCTCTTCCATAACTTATGTTTTCTGTCTCTGCAGGTTAAGGAGACAAAATCTGACAAGGAACAAAGCAGCATGTTGGGCCTCTTCAGGAACAGCAGGATCAGAATCACAACTCTCGTCCTCTGCTTGGTGCAGTGAGTACCTACTATAACTCTCGGAATATAAGGCGCATTTTAAAGCCTTTAATTTGGTCAAAAACCGACAGCGCGCCTTTATGTTGTTCTGGGGCTAAACAGCGCCCTCTAGTGGAATAAAATGGATTAATTCTGGTTGTGCTTATTGGCCTTGAAATGATTTTGTGTGGTACACTGCGCTCAGTCAAAATGTTTTAGTTACATTACGGCTACAGAAGTCAGGAGTGGAGTAATACTGCTTTGACTGACTGAGTTATCCGTTTTGTTTCACTTAATGCGCCTTATAGTCCGGTGCACTTTATAAATGAAAAAAGATTGAAAATAGACTATTCATGGACAGTCCGCCTCATAATCCAGTGGACCTTATAGTGTGGAAAATACGGTAGACGCCTTTATGCCATGGAAAAAAGTGAATAAGCGGTCCTTTAGAGACATTTGTCTTGTTGATGACATATGCAATGCAAATAAACTGACTTGACTTGATCACTATGTTTGAATAATAATAATAATAATAATAATAATAATAATAATAATAATAATAAAATTTGAACTATTAGGTGAATTTTCCATGTACAAATATTTAAAGGGGGGTATTATGTTGTTTCCAGACACATAGTGTCATTTTATAGCCTTTAAATCAAGGCTAAAATCCATCTGTTTAGTCTTTGATTATCAGTAAATGGAACATTGATCAATATGTTATTGATTATTTCATAATCCGTTACTGTATAATGTTTTTATGATGTAAAGCACTTTGAACTGCTTTGCTGCTTAAATGTGATATAAAAATAAATTACGATTTGCTTTTTCACAGCTTCACCATGACGACTGGCTACTACAGTCTGTCGTTTAACACGGCTCAGCTCCACGCTGACCCCTACATGAGCTGCTTCATCGCCGCAGCAGTGGAGATCCCTGCATACGTCTCCAGCTGGATCGCACTCAGATTCCTTCCCCGACGACTTTCTGTCCCTGGGACGTTGATCCTTGGATCTCTGCCGCTGTTCATATTACTACTGGTGCCAGAAGGTAAGTAAAAAGTTGTGGTTGGGTTTATGGTTGTCTAAAGCACTGTTTAAGAAATGTTTTGTAAAAGTTAGAATTAGTAGTTTCATATTTTAAAGTAAGAAACATTCATGCCTAAAATGTGTTTTATTCCACAAACGTAACACCATTTACCTGTGTTAGATCTGTTTGGTGTTTCTCTTGCGTTGGAGATGGTGGGTAAGTACGCTTTCACGACTGGAGCCTCCCTGATGTTCGCCTACACCACAGAGCTTTACCCAACATCCCTGAGGAACACCGCGACAGGGACAACCACCACAGTTTCCAGGACTGGAAGTTGCATCAGTCCTTTTCTGTTAAGTCTTGGTGAGGAAATGAGAGTTTGAACCCTTAGAAATACTTGAATTGAAAGAATTTATGAGTGCTAACTCTTGTCTCTTGTTCTTCTCAGGTGGGTACTTCAGCTACTTGCCTTATGTGACTATTGGCTCTCTGGGAGCTGTTACTGCCTTTGTTGCTCTTTTGCTTCCAGAGACTTTTAAGCAACCGCTGCCTGAAACCCTTCAACAAATGCATGAAAGACAAACGTATGTACTCAGGTTTTTACCTAATTTAAACTGTTTCTAAATTATTTAGTAAGTATTTAAGAAGTGATGTAACTCTATCAGTTACACTAAAAGATTTTTTTTAATTGAAATGTTGAATTTTAAACCAAAATAATACAAAACACAAGGGCAACATTTTAATTTCTTTAGATTCAAAAGTTGACTTTTCCTTATTATTTGTAGATCTGCCTTTAAACTGCATGACTTGGGTTTGCTTCCAGCAGCATCTCACAATAGTTTGATGGAAAGTTGTGCACTTCCTTCTTGTGAATTTACCTTTTGGACATATAAAAAAGCCGTGACTTCATCTCAGCTTTAATAAATGATTACAAGCAAACCGGACTAACTGCCTTAAATACAGTTACTTAATGCCCAAAGGAAGAAAAATACACAAAAATCTGGTTTCAACTGTATTTCGGTCAGTTCTTCCACACAAGAATACAGTGCAGTATAATGTAACATGCAGGGTTTTTAATCCTCAAACCAAACTGACAGGCAAGCAGAGGCATAAAGACACATACTGAAAAAATAACAAAATTGCTTTTTTATTTAGATATTTGTAACTTAACAAATTTGCATCACACTCAGTCGATAGTATGTAATGATGAGAATCAACCAGTGGATGGCGCTGGAGCGCAGGGTGTGATGTAAACAACTACTAGCTGCTCCACCTCTAAATGTTGGCTGCAATTTTGTCGGCAAACCTTCACAGAAACGTGTGTAGGTGTGTGTGCGTGTGTGTGTGCGTGTGTGTGTGTGTGTGTGTGTCATATGGTGAACTCATCTTGCTTTTGCTCACTTGTCTTGTTTTTCCACCACAGGACCAAATGTCCCTGCATCCAAAAAGCTGAAGCCTCAGAGCCAGCCGTGTTACCAGACAGTCCTCTGTGACTGAGTGTTGCTGGTTCAGCTTTAAATTCTGTTTTTTTCAACATTTCCAGAAGTGATTTCTTCTGAATTACATTGGACATCCCACCTTCCTCAATAGTTTTATTGTTGTTTATGTTAAACTAAAGTTTCTGTGTCTTAAAATTTGTGAACTTAAGGAAACGTCATCCTTAGTTCTCCCTGAGTTCATCACTTCAACATATTCAGTTGGTTACTCTATGTACATAAAGAAAGGGAGGAGAAAGGATTTAGAAAGGACTGTTCTTTTGTCTTTTTTAACAAAAGTGTCTAGTGCAACCTCAGAATTAGAAGACCCTTTAAGTAAACCTATTGTTTATGTATAGAACAGCAGATTTCCATAACTTGAATCTGTGTTATTTTACATCTTTTCTGTGCAGTTTTTACTCCACAGAATTTACAGCTGTCTGGCTGGAGACTTTTCTTCAGCAGCGTTTTCCTCTGCCTCAGTGCTGGAGAGGACGTAAGGTCTTTTCTGGCAACATCTGGAAGATAAAGTCAATGCATGTTTGTTCAGTCAGATTACTGACACTGATATTTAAATAATAATAGTTACAAAAGATCTGCTGGGAACTTAAATCAGCATTTTGTAAAACCTCTCTATGAAGCTTGAATTGCAATAAAATGGTGGACAATGTAACTTTTTGAGTTTGGCTTTGCTTCACAACCCTGAAGTCATCCCAGGTGTTTATGCATGTTTCTCTGTCACACCTCTTCCTTCCACTTAACTTTCTGGACAAGCTGCTTTTTCAGAGCAAAGATTTTTTTGTTTCTGATCTGCCAAAGAGGTGTGAAAGTGCCACCTCTAACACTGTTTGTTTTCAAGTTCCTTTTCTACATCATTAAACTTTCTGCAGTCTATCTGTGGTATTATTATACCACACTGAGAGCAGAATGTTTTGCAGGTGCTAAACATTTCCCTGATCCAAGAACACTTGTTAAGCAAGTAGAAGCAGTTTTCTTTTTACCTCCTGCTACACTTTCCAACACCTAAAGTGTTTGTGCATGTGAAATTTAAAGCTCATACCTTTATGCACAAAAATAAATAAAATATTTTAGTAAAGAAAAATCTGCTTTTTTAAATTGATTTAGCATCTAAATCAATGTAGAGTCATAGATGTACAGGAGGATTTTTTACCCAGGAAACCTTTGCATTTGGCTGATGGTGTCAGGCAGCGGCATCCCAAAGCTCTCAGGGAGGAGCAGACTCAGCAGTCCAGTCAAAACTGTGAGGCTTCCCACTATGATGTACGGCAGGGATACAGAGTAGGTTCCTGTGGTGTAACACCAGAGGACAGAATATTTAAAAACTAATGTAAAACAGCAAACATAAAGTGTGTCAGTTCAGGTATACTTTTATTTCTGGCAGGGCCTTTTTTTAAACTAAATGTGTCATTTTTCTGCCAGGTTGCAAAGAAACACAGTTTAGATCAAGACAAAATAGACCAAAAGTGTGCCTGTGAATGCCGATCTGCCTTCACAGACACATTTTATTCACAGCCAAACTGGAGGTTTGAATGAAACAGTTACATATCTGATTAAAAGTATCTGTGTTTTGAAGTGTTGAAGCTGAACTCCAGCTTTAATGTTTAAGTTGAAGCAGCTCACACACCTTCTGCAGGTGCAAGCCCCAGAATTTGTCTGATGAGTTACAGCTGTGGGCCTCATATGTTTGTAAAAATTCAGAGGAAAACTGCAGAAGAAGAAAGTCAGCGAACAAACAGCCTTCTGAATGAAACCACATTAAAACAACTGATTTAGTTTTCCACTCAATAGAGCTGCATGAATCTGTTGGAGGACTGAGATGAGAGCCGTCTTCCATTCAGTGAAACACCAGGTGAGCTCGACATGTCAATGTGTCTTTGTCCAAAAGAACCAACTGAGCTTTGAGTATTCTGCTCTTCTTTTCCAGTTTGTCACTTTCCCTACAATCTTATTTAACTTTAATGCTAAATATGTGAGGCACATAACTTTGCTTCTTATTGCACCAATATTGATACAACATGTTATTCTAACCATAAACTTCAATGCATTCTTTTGGGATAACACAAATATTTTTTTAAAGCATGGACTTCAAACAACTGTGATGTTGTCCAACTTTTAGGACCAAACTATTTGATTTGGTGTATTTAAGCTGAAGAGCATCTAAAATGTTGACCCTTTATATTTTCCATCCTGTTGTCGTTCTGGCTGCATGTTTAGGGTCTTTTCTGAATATTTTTATCCTTTATTCCCAGTCAGAATAAATCTGGAGACATCAAGAACAAACACAGATTTATTAGTGTGAGGAAGCTGGAGTCTAACTGGAACTGTGAACTGATCCAGTCACTTCTGGAGGTAACAGTCTGGCTAAACCAGTAAAACCAGTGAACTCTGAACCAACTGAGCTGCTGCTCTATAATCTGATTCTGCTTCTGGCTTGTTCCTTGTTCTTTATGCATTAATATTATCTTAAAAAACTCTGACACTTTCACAGGACAGCTGGAAATATACAGAGTGTAAATAGGTGAACTCTGTTTACAATTAAGTGAATTATTAGATTTTATTCAGGACTTAAGGTCAAAGAAGGCCGAATCCATATGTACGCTTAAAAATGTGATGAATCAAATATTTTTCAGCCCCAAAGTTTTGACCTTCCATAATAAGGCAAAGTTCAAGGCATCTTAACTCAAGGATTAGTTATTTTGTTTTGCTCAAAGGCTCAGAGAATATAATAGTACTTACGTAAGTAAATGAAGTATGGAGCAATAATGCTGCCAATTCTGGAGGCCGTGGAGCAGGCGCCGACAGCCGTGTTCCTCAGCACAGTGGGGTACAGCTCTGCAGTGTAGGCGTAC